CACTAACTTTGCACACATATAGAAATCTGTCACCTGAATCTTTCTAATTTTAACAGTGACACTCATAAAGTGTAAAACATCATGATAATAATCACTAACATTGATATCAGTCTTTATAGGTACTTCTTAAAATGTTTTAGGAGGGTAATGTTTTTCCTCCTTAGAGTAAGAGAACTGAAAGAAAATAATGTCCGTTTACCAGATTTTTCAGACAGATACTGTGGGCCAAGCATCCCACAGACAGAGGCAGCCAACAAAGAAATAATTGCTCCCAACTTAACATAGGGGACAGCACAAGTAAACAGAAGTTGAGGCTAAAAATTTCAGACTTTACTCAGCTGTTTGCTATTTACAAACTGAGACTTTTCAGATGTTGCTGTTGAAGTGAGCATTAAACATTTGTATAGAAAATGAGAACATTCAGTTACATCAGAAAGGTGGTAAGATAAGTAAGGAATTTAAATTTTCATGCCTCAGGGCATAACACTAACATTAACTGCCTGGGGTTGGAAAGTAATTTATACCAAACTCTTCATTATAGGAAGTATGTCTTACTGACCCTTGTCAGGAACAGGTTACAGGACAAATGGACTACGGATCTGAACCCTTAAGATATTTCATATCAGATTCAGAAACCATCCATTCATAATGAAGGAAGAATGCAGTAGAATAAAGGAAATGCATTTCTTTAATTACAGACTCATCAAAAGCAGGTTAAAAAGTTAAGTACTGTAGCTTGACCTTAGATCCTGAGGCATTACAGTCATACAGAAAACTCAGGACCATTTGTGTGATTAACCCTTGTAATCAAATACATAAAACTATAGGGAGTGCTAAAAAAATGCTGTTGTATGTTTCACTTATTAATTGAAATGTGTATGTCGTGGTTTAACCCCAGTTGGCAACTGAGCACCACGCAGCCGCTCGCTCACCCCCCCACCAGTGGGATGGGGGAGAGAATCGGAAGGGTAAAAGTGAGAAAACTCGTGGGTTGAGATAAAAACAGTTTAATAGGTAGAGCAACAGTCACGCACGCAAGCAAAGCAAAACAAAGGAATTCATTCACTACTTCCCATCGGCAGGCAGATGTTCAGCCATCTCCAGGAAAGCAGGGCTCCCTCACGCGTAACGGTGACTTGGGAAGACAAACAGCACCACTCCAAACATTCCCCCCTTCCTTCTTCTTCCCCCAGCTTTATACTGAGCATGATGTCACATGGTATGGAATGTCACATGGTATGGGATATCCCATTGGCCAGTTTGGGTCAGCTGTCCTGGCTGTGCCCCCTCCCAGCTTCTTGTGTCCCTCCAGCCTTCTCAGTTGGTAGAGCATGGGAAGTTGGAAAGTCCTTGACTAGTATAAACACTACCTAGCAACAACTGAAAACATCAATGTGTTATCAACATTGTTCTCACCCTAAATCCAAAGCACAGCACTGTACCAGCTACTAGGAAGGAAATTAACTCTATCCCTGCCGAAACCAGGACAGTGTATAAGAAAAAATACAAGGGCGGTACATTTTAGCTCCCAAAGGATGTAAAATTCAATTTTGACATTTAATAGGAGGATATGAGAAAAGGTTAGATGTTAAATAAAATGCTGAGACATTTGTGAATGGGATGAGGAAGATAGTACATGATGTGGTGGGTTAATATAGTTCCAACAAGTTATCACAAATTAAACATTTTTTTAAATTAAATTTTTTGTCACTATGATCAGGATAACCAGATATTCAGATACAGCTGTTTCATTTTTTAAATATTCTACACCTTCAGGTTTTCAGTTGCTAAATCATCCAAAGGTGAGACAGTCATCCAATAACACTCTTAATAATTTCCAATCAAGAAGGTATTTGGACGGTGACATAGTTTGAGTATTGGCAATATTTTCTGTGTAATGTTCTGCTTAAAAGTCTCTTGAGGTGCAGCTACATAAACCAGCTTCTGGCTTATCTTTTATTTCACAAATTAAAAAACAAACAAATAAACCCACAGCGTTCAGGGGCATAACAGATAATGCTAGAACTTCCACAATAGGCTACACAATATTTTTTTCCATTAAAAAACACTGGAAAACACTAGAGGAAATTAAGTTTGTAGTTGTGGCACTAGATTTAATTATCTGCGCGTTTACTTCACAAAAAGGAATTACTGAAAAGGAGTACAGATGCACAGATGAGGACTTCAGCTCTGCTGTCTCTGTGGTTCCCGGTCTATCCTCTATGTCACCGCCATGTGGTTTTCTTGGAGCCTTTGTCCTCCAGTTTTCTTCAAGAACTTTAATTTATTTCTGCACAAAAGCACAGCTTCAATAGGATGGTTAGAAAGTGCTGCTACATGTTATTTACACAAATCCATTCTCTTTGGGTGAAATTGGATATTTACAGAAGAAGGACTTTTTCTACAGTATTTGCCGTTAGTATAGCCTCATTACATTTTATACGAGCCTATATTGCCACAGGAAACCTTAGCTCTAAAAAGACTCATCTTTCCCTCGCACCACACTATGGTGGAGGGCTAAGCTGTCTACTTGGAATTTTGGTTTTCACTGACCTTTTTCTTTCATTTAGATTTGTATTTTATATCACAAATGGTACGTTTGTGCATTAATTGTGCAAGACAATGAATGACAGTGAATGACACACAGTCTTGCCACTAAGAAGGTAGACTGTGATTTAAGGAATTCTGTTTTTTTTCCAAACCTATCATGATTCTCTTACATGACCTTGGACAAGATGCTTAATAGACCGTGATAAGAATAGACCATGTTGGTGTGGGAAGAAAATAATAATTTTCTTGATCATAATAGTAATGGTACTAAAATATTCCAAAGAGAGAGGATTATTCCATATTATAGCAAAATACCAAAGGATCACTAAAGTTGCACAAGAGCATGCACAAGTCCCAGCCAGCTGCCGAGACTGCGGTTTGACTGGGAGACCCATTTGTGTGTGTATGTGTGTGCATGGGGAGAGTGAGGATCCAGGTCCAGCTACTGGATGGACCTGGCTGGACTGGGTGTCTAAGCCCAGTTACTGGAGGGATCCACCGGAGAGCGTCTGGGGGCTTGTTTGTCCAAGTGCCAGCAAATGGGGAGACTAGGATTCTGTATACTGGGCAAAATGGGGGTCTGATGTTGGAGGCATCCACGCTGTATATATTTGTATATATTTCCCACTTATTTTCATCCTGATCAGCCAGCACGAGGAACAGGATGAGGTCACTGGTGCCATTAGTGTTTATGTGAGTACCAAGTGGGTTTGTCTATATTGACGTGCGTAGCCAGTCACATGTATATGGATGTAACATACTGTGTGTGCATGTGTGCCCAGGGGAAATGCACATTTGGCCTTGCTGCTGGATGGACCTGGGGACATGAAGCTGCAGCAGCCTCACCTCTCTTGGGCTGCAAAATCTGGCACCCCCTAAGAGCTGGCATGCAGCCCTTGGTTCTACCTCATCTGCAATTTTATTCTCACATATCTCTGGATCCTTCTTCTCCACTGGAAAATAAGGTCTGCAATCCTAAGGAAGTTCAAAGAATCTTTCTGGAAATGTAGCTGATGCAGACACATTTGGCTGTATCTTTAGACAACATGAGTAGAAAAATATAATTAAGATAATAACTGAGGAACAAATGCCTTTGTTTTTGTTGATAACTCTCTGGCGCTGGTTTTGCAGAATACGTACCAATGAATCAGGACAGCCAACAAAATTTTCCAGTTTGTCAATATATGTAAGAACTTCTGCCTAGCTGATATTCAAGAGGAAGAGGAGGGAAGGTCTGAACTAGTGAAAAGAAGGGAAATGAAGACCTGAACAACCAAGAGAAATAAAGCTGATCTAATCTGGTTTTGTTCCGCTTCTTTTTATGTTTGTCTCTTTCTTTCTCTTTTCATGGATGTGTGTTTGTATCTTTGTCACCAAAATTAATTATGACTGCAGTAAATTTCTTGAACTCATTTCAGTTTGTTAATTAATTTGGAAAAAAAAAAGATTGCAAACTACAGTTTTCAATCACCCTATGCCAATCAAAATAATTGTGAATTTACTGCAATTAACACCCAAACAAACTGCATTAGTTTTAACTAAGATGAGTTCAGAGACCTATGGATCAGCTTTTTGGAACAAAGAAAGATCATGGCACATGTAGACAGTAAAGTGTTTAGAGAGTCTACAGAGCTGGAGCATTTAAGAAGAAGGTTAGACAGTAACAGAGAGTTTTCACGGTGATTGAACCTATCATCTAACCGATGTGCAGCTGTGTGTTTTCAAAGAGCTATAGACTTATTTTCATCTTGTCTGAAGTTCTGATAATTGCATGATTTTAGCTGAAATGTTTAAAGACCTTTTGTGTGATTTGTTAAATATTTAAAGTACTATCCTATCTGAAGTAAAATTCAATAAATATGAAAATAAGCTGGCTCATATTAATCTGCAGCTGAAAATGTGTCATTTTTCAAGTTCTTTTCACTTATAATGTGTGCAGAAGCTTTACTGTATATTCACAGAGTGTATTTATAATATTAATTATATATTTATAGTATTAATTGTATAGTATTTAGAATCTAATTACATATTTTCAAAGAAATGTGGCAATCAATACTAACAATGATTTACTATACTTGAGAAATAAATGAAACATTGCCTTCAGATACTGTAATATAATTTGTATATTTTGACTGAATATCTACTTCAGCAAGATATACAAGGAATGTTTATATAAAACACTCCTGAAAGATAAATTAAAAATAAGCAATATGTACTCAGTTTAATAATAAACACAAGCTGCATTAAAAGAAAAAATTCTCATTAGCTTTTTGAAAAAAAAATTATGACATATATGATTAACTTTTCAGCTACAGAAGTACTAATTCTTCAGTATTAGAAATTATAGGACAATCCAAAGCATATTATGTGTTTGGTTTTTTTTTCATATGCAATGAATGATAATAATAAAGGTTCCGTTCAGTTACTAAAGAAACAAGCTGAATGTAAAAGATTAAAATATTTTATTGAAGGTTTTAATCATTTCTTATCCAGGGAAGCACAGGTACAGACATAACAAGTCAAGCATTTTACTGCTACCAGAAAAATTGAACATTCAAACTTTCTACAACCAATTATTTCAAACCAAAATAACACACAAAGCAGTCTGAGATTTTGAAAAAAACACCAACCAACCAACCAAACAAACAAACAAAAAAACCCTTTACACTTAAGGTGACATTTTAACATGAAGATGTCACATGTATTTGCTGATATGGTACCTGATGTTAAAGCACAGTTGGCAAAGCTCTTACAGGTGATGGTATAACCACTGCAACTCTTCCTGGTTAAACTTCACTTCAGGTTTTTTTCCATCTGAACATTTAGATCACTCTTGCTCTCTCTGGAGTGGTTTGCGCTCTGGAGGTAGCACTGGCTGTAACTTCTGCCAGCGTTGTGGAGGCCAGAGGATATGAGTAGCTCGAGCATGCAGAAGTCCAAGAGAAACCTGTAACCAAAATATAAACCAGAGAGATTATTAAATACTGCAAATAAAATAAAATGTGGAAAATACAAAGCATGATGATTTATTAGAGCAATGAGAGAATACAAAGCAGAGAACTTTGCATGCATGACGACTGTCTCGTGTGTAATGAGAGGAAAAGAAAAACTACTTCAGTGACAATTTCTTTTTTTTTTTTTTTGATAAAACTTTTCATGTAACTCAAACCAGCTTGCTGAAATGCACTGCTGTAACAAACATGAAGTAGGAATGTTTTTTCACATTCAAGAAAAACTGCTGGTCAAAACAGGTGAGGCATTCTATAATCCACCAAAAGCTTTTGGTTATTAGTTATTCTGGGTACGGCAGAACAAGGTTCAAGTATCTATTCTGAATAAGTTAAACAGAACCTGTGACTCAGATTTGAGCTATGTACATTAACCACACCAGGATAGTGGCTTTTCTAAACATGCTGTGCTTTGTATTTCTCACTGTCCTTCAAAATTCCATTTTGTCTCCTACCAAAAATGGAAATTACTGTGAATTGTAAATATTTCCCCGAGGATGAAAATGTATTTCTGATAGAATTATTTGGAACACATCTACAGATCAAATATTTTTGAGGTTCTACTTACGCTTCATTCATATGTCTTATAAACATGTTTTACCATCTTATTATTTATTATTGTTTTACTTCAATAATTTTACTTCACTAATGTTTTACTTCAATAAATCAACATAAAAGTCCATTGATACTGCTTACAAATGAAACACTTATAGGTGGCAGAGTTTAGAAAACTGAATTGCTTGGAAAACCTTAAGAAAATTAAAAACAAGGCTCTTTTCATGGCTAGACTAAGAATAGAACAGTCACATTTTCAGATTGAGATAATAAGGCAGGCTTTCAATGCCCATACTTAACATTGAAATTAAGTAATTTGGTAAGGAGTTAATCTCACTTAATTTGAAAAGCCTGCAGGACAGACTTCTGCATCTTAAATTATTTGTTTAGACTTCTTCTGGAGACAATAGCAAGTAATAAGCTTCTCACCAACTACAAAGTATCCAGTGCCAATAGAAGAGCTACAAACAGGACAAAAACATGGTTAGAAATACTGGAATGTCTCTAGATGTGAAAAGATGAAATAATTCAGACTCCTAAAGAGACAACAGGGTCAGAAGTCTCTAAAATTATGAATGGCATGGATAAGGAATGCATAGGCTTTATTTGCCTATTATGTCATCATTTCTCATAAGAATGAGGAAACATCAGATGTCATTATCTTAAAGAATTTTTAAAGCCAACAAAAAGGTAATGCTTCTTCAGAATGTGCACGATTACATCATACTTGCATACATTATACAGGATATTGAAGACACCAGAAAAGAATAACAATCTGGTTCAGAAAATAATAATAGAAGCAAAGTCCATCACACATAATTTAACGTAAACAAAGTAACACTGTAGTCTCTATACTCCATATTAGGAAACACTGAGGGAAAAATTATATACTTGTTTTGTTCTTATGCTCTAATGATCTGGTATTGGCTGTCATCAGAGCCAAGAGTTAAATGGATTTCTGGTTTGAACCCGCACATTACTGCTTAAATTTTTATGTAAACTCAGTTCTTCAGTTCCGTTCCATTACTCATCACAAAAAAAGTGGTTTCAGTAAGCAGGTAATTCAGCATTTTATGCAAATAGACACCAAATAGGCCCCTAGGAATATCTAATTTTCTTGATTTAATTTCATAGGATTAATGTATATTCACTGGTGTCTCTCTACTACATAATCAAATCAGTGAGGCTGAAGCGGTCTATATCTAATTCCATATTCTGTAGCTTGATGAAGCAGGTGCTGAATTACTTGAATATAATTTGGTTACTTAATAACCCACAATATCTAAAAGAATCTGAAGTAGATCACTGAAATTGCTGTCTAACATCATATTTCACTTGCTTGATCTCTTGCAGGGATCACTTGTTTCCCTTGCAGTTTTTTTC